AAAAAAAAAAAAAAAAAAAAAGGTACATAGGACACCCTGGCACCTCATCCTGTTAAGAGGATGAAGACAAACTACAGACTAGGAGAATATACTTGCAAACCACAAAGCAAACAAAGGACTACTCTTTAGAATATATAAAGAACTCTCAGAACTCAATGGTCAAAAGAAATACAGAAAATTGACAAGAAAAAAAAAATACATGAACTGAGATGCAGAGATGGCAAGCACATGAAAAGATGTTCAACATCATTAGCCAGAGGGGAAATGCTCATCAAAACTACGACAAGGTATCACTGGATATCTATCACGATGGCTAAATAAAAAACAGTACCACTACCTCATGCCAGCAAGGATGAGGACCACTCACACATTGCTGGTAGGAGTGTAAAATGGCAGAGCCACTCTGGAAAACAGTTTGGCAGTTCCTCATAAAACTAAACATGCAACTACCATACAATCAGCAGTTGCACTCTGGGGCATCTATCTATCCCAGAGAAATGCACATTTATGCCCACACAAAATCCATTACACAGTTGTTCACAGGAGCTTTATGCACATAGGTTTGGAAAAAAAAAAAGAAAACAGGAAACAGCCAGATGTCCTTCAATGCAAGAATGGTTAAAAAAAACTGTAATACATCCATACCATGAACTACAACTCAGTAATGAAAAGGAACTATCTATGCAAGATACATTCCCTGCATGAATCTCCAGGGCATTATGTCAAGTGGAAGAGGAGGAAAAAAAAAATAAAACCACATTTCAGAAAGTTACAAACTGTATGATTCCATTTATATAGAATCCCTGAAATGACAAAATTATAAGCATGTTACACAGGTTAGTGGTTGCCAGGGGTCAGTGAGGGACGGAGATGGCTGCAGCTATAAAAGAGCAACAGGGATCCTCATGGTGATGAAATCATTCTGTACCTTGACTGGGAGGGTCACAAGAATTCAAAGGTGTTAACACAGCAGAGAACTAAACACACACAAAGGAGTACATTTAAATCTGGTGATCTCTCAATCAGGTGGATGGAGAGTATTTCAATTTCCACGTTGTGATATTACACTATGGTGATAAAAGATTTTCCCATTGGAAAAAATTAGATAAAGGGTATTGTTTCTTACAACTGTATGAATATCTACAACTAACTCAAAATAAATAGTTGAAAGACAAAGAAAGAAAAAGACTGTGAGACCAGCCAGTGGCGGAAATGGAAAACCAAAAGCTGTTATTTTTGCTTAAGGCTCAGCAATTGAAAGCCAAGGAGAGGAGTATGGGGGGAAACAGGAAGGCCAAGAAGATTCTATGGCCTACAATTAATACAATCATCTCCCCCTCCCCTATGAAGCTTTAACATCTCCATAATTTTGTTTCTGTCCTGGATTTCACTGTTGCTGTTAGTAAACTGTACATGCATCTATCTCTCCACAATCACCACCATCCCAGACTATATATTCATAGGGTAGGGACTGTCTTCTTAACCATCATATCCTGGTAGCCTGGCACAAAATGAGTGACATGAAGAGAAAAACTGAATAAGCAAACGAATGAATGAATGAGATGCCTGCAGTCTTGTTAAGTTGCTAGTCAATTACAGTTTCAAAGCAGTATATACACATTGCCTTACAAATTTCTAAGTCATGAACATTTTTTAAAAAGCGGCAACCACACATTTCACTTGCAAGCAGAATTTAACAATACCTGATTTTTATAAAATGCTCTCCAATTTGTAGACTTCCACGTGTAGTAATTCATTTGATAAGGATGAATTAAGAATTATGTATATATGAATTCAAAGTAGTATATGCAGATCTTCAAGAAAAACATTCTAAACAACCGGTACAACTAAGGATTTATGGCACAGTCTTAATGCAAGCTGCATCATATAATCATATTTTTTTTCAATGTAAGAACAAAGAATTCAAATTATTCAAACTGGGGGACTCATGGACCATTCTGCCAACCACTGAGACACTTCTACAGATGCAAAAAAACACAGGCGAAGTGACCAGTTCAAGGTTATACAACTATCTAGAGCTGGAACTGGAACCTGAGCCTTTCCCAATTCATTTCTCATCTCAATGAACTGGGTATGTAATACTCTCCTTTCTCCACCCACCCCACCCCTATGAACACCTAAAAATCTGAATGACTTATTCTTCAAACAGGGTTTTTAGGGGAAAAAAAACTGAATTTACCCAAGCTTTTATGGTTGTATTACAACTTCCGTGGATTTTTCAGGTGTCAAATTACTTCTCCTATCAGAACAATAAGGTACTTTATTCTATGGTGTGCAAGTATACTAACAGTTTAATGTTTCATCCTCCACCCAAATAGTAGAGAGAGGGTGTTAATTCTAACAGGAGTTTTAGTGTCTTTCATTTCAGTGTTCAGTGGAAAAGATGAGCTATTTTACAATTCAGGGAAGAGACCTTACACTATTAAAATCTTCATTGATACATACGCTCACTGAGGGTACTGTAATTGAATCTCCACTTGCATGCAGCTTTACGTATGAAGAACAGTTAACTATTTGTTAGAGGCAAATTAAAACTAAAGTGACAACCAACTACTGGGATATGGGGCTTTTATGAGGTTAAATCTCCATTATGCAGCAACATGTTACTAAGCATGAATTTAGAGGTCCTAGAATTAAAACACTAGAGGAACCTTAGCTGTGCTCTGTGTAGTCCAACATCCTCATTTTTGCAGACAGGGAAAGAGAAGCGTTGATTCAACCATTAACCAATAAAGCAGACTGCTTCCTTTTTCAAGTGTATTCATTTAAATGCCATTTTGCCCTTATTCTGCATCTCACCGTCGTTTCTTAGAGCGATGACTGATTTCTTAAGGTGAAATGAGCGAAGGGAAAAAATTCATTTCAAGAGAATGAAAAAAAAGGACTTTGAAGGAGGAGATGCTGGAGTGAAGAGGAGAAATGACGTCCTGTTTAAAATATGTAACCCCTTGATGGGGGTTAGGCAATGAATCATATTCTCCTCGATTTTTCTATGTGCTATCGACATCAGCCACAGTTCTTTCTGGAGGGCACTCAAATGAGAGGAAGAGGAAGTGAATAAAGCTACTGCTAAATATACAGCACCCACTGAGGACAGGGATGTAGTCAGAAAAAACAGGAAAAAATAAAAAGCATGTTTCTGCTAGAATCCTGACGTTTTCTTAACTCATCTAAAGATACGGAAGCTAAGAGGATATCGGAAGCCAAGAGGATATCGGAAGCCAGGGCATACTTCAAATTCGAAATGCGGATGACTCTAGGGCCAGAGAGACCCCCGAGCCCTCGGATACTGGACGACTCAGAGGGGACAAAATGGAGTTGAGGTCTAGGGACGCCCTAAAGGTCGTTTGGAGGTCTGGCAAGCACTTGATATGTTCCTTTGGAAAGAATAGTGGCAAAGCCTAGTACCCCGGTCAGAAAGATGCTTCTGGCCGTCGGGGGGCAGGAAGGGGCAGGCCAGCATCTCAAGGACCCCAGCCTTCAGCTAAGGAGAAGATACAGAGATCTCGGGGATCTTCCCGGCCCAGAAGTAGGCGGGCGGGTAGATGGCCCGGGTTCAAGAAGAAAGCGAACGAATTCAGGGAGCTGGAAAGTCCTCTCAGTCTCCTCCGGGCTCAGGCGTGGGAAGGTGGCATCGTTAGCGCTGGACCCCCGGAGGCCGACGGCACAGGAGAGCCAGGGCCGCGGCCGGAGTTACTCACCGTTGGCGCTACCCACCACGTCCTCGCAGCCGGCCGGCACCTAGCACACGGGAAGCTTACGGAAAGGAGCCGCGCGTCCGCTGCCGCTGGGGCGATGAGGGGCGCGCCGCGCAGGCCGGAGAAAAAGCCGCAGAGGCGTGCGCGCACCCTGAAGGCGGGTGGAGGCGGGGCAAGGCGCGAGCCCGGAAAAGACGCGCCCCGAGGGGTGGGCGGAGCGGAGCTGCGCGGTGGTGTGGCTGCGCCGGCCGAATCGCGGGCGGCTGTCGCCTCGGCCCACCCACGCTCCCGCCTCCCCTTGCCCCTAACGTCACTGAAAAGGCGGAGCCGAAAGGGCTTCTTGCGGCGAGGGAGGGGCGCTGCGGGTGCGCCGAGACCGCTAACGGCTCCCCGAGGGCTTGTCGCAGGTTCTAGCTCCTGTTTCCAAATCGCTGCTGAGCTGTTGGCCGCGTAATCAAGGGTTGCCTGAAGGTCTTTGTGCCCATCTGATCTACGCTAGGTGCAGAATGCGCCCACGCCCGCACCTGTGCTTGCTTTCCAGGAGGAAACTTCCCCACGGGTTATCGTCCAGCCGCTCTTTAAAGATACTCATCTCTGGACTTCACTGCTCTTCCTTTACAGAGAGATCTTAACATTCTGTAATAAAGACATTCCGCTCTTCCAAGCCAAAGTGAATGCCTCTCGCATTTATCTCGCCGCTCGCTGCGTTAAGACCCCCGCTCCCACCCACTTAATGAGATCTCACTAGGGTGCCGGATTTTGACTTTCCTACCTTGTATTTCCACCACAGCAAGAGAGGCCACAACTGATAAGGAAAAGTCACCACAGCACTGTGACATCTTACTGGCCCTGATGGTTGCTTATAAGCCAGTCCTACAAATACTGTTCCCAAAAGATTCAAGAAATTGCCGTTAAAAATAAAATTCAGGGAACCGTCTCAGGACTTCAAAAAGTAGAACATAATTGCAAATTAGCCACGACAAACTGCCAGGAATATATCACCAAAAGAAATAAAGTGCCAGTATTCTTTCAGTTCCCTGATACATAATGGAAGACTAGCTTCCTCTTCCTGGACATTTCATTTCACTTGCTATTTTCCATTTTCCCGTAGAATTAGCGGAGGTTAAAAACAGTGTGTGTGTGCACGTGCTTCACCCCCTCAGATTACAGATTTAGAGTCATTCTTAAACTTCAGTAGGCATCCGAATCATCTAGGGTGCTTGTCAGAATAGGGGTGCCTGGAGCTACAACCTCCAGATAATTGTGATTTGGATCTGAGTGAGGCAGAAAATTTTGAGTTTTTAATAAACATCCCAGGTGCCATTATAGGTGGCTGTAGGCCCACAGTTGGAGAGCATACAGCTACAACTTTTTAAATTGCTTCTCTGAAGTGGGATTACTCATCTAATTTCCAATAGGCCCACCCACTTATATATAATATGCCTATAAATACTGCCATGGCAGTCACCTGACTTCCTTTTCCCAGATTGACCTAGAAAGTTCAGGACTTCAAACAAGGTTAATTGTCATGTTTATTTTATGAGGTCTTCTAATACCAGAAATAAGTAATCATTTGTCAGCTATATAATTCACTGGGTACTTACAGTGAACAGAGTCCTGTCATCTATAGTAGGGTTAACTTGAATGAAGTCTAAGGAATGATATCCTTGTTCTCAACAAACTTAAGAGTCTAGTTGCAGAATTAAAACACATAGTACAGACCCAGTGTAGCAACACATAATCAATCTGTTGTGCTAAGATGAAAAATAACTTGAAAGTTCTTTTGTCAATTTCCTTTACTGTCACTTAGCCCAGACCTTTTCAATTAGGTAATTTCCTCTGAACGGAGTCCTCAGCTTACTGAAATTCTTCCAGCTTTACATGATGTAAAGGAAAGGGCCTGAAACTATCAGTTTTTGTTTGTGTGTATGAATAGGTCTCGTACATACCTATTCATATGCATGTATGTATAATATAGATATAGGTATATTTATCAGACCAAGAAACTACTTGAACTTTCAAGATCTTTATCACTTAAGCTATTCGTTAATGCTCAAGGTTCTGGCTACCTTTATCATATCTCACCTTTCCTCTCTAGTTAACCACACCCAGAATGCAGAGGAAATAAAAGTGTATCCACACTCTTTCTAGCTTTTTTTCTTTCACTTTTTCAAGATCAAAACAAACCTTGTTTAATTTCTTATCATCAGAAACCCTCCAGAACTATACCACCCAGTAGCAAAATATCCCCCCAGCTGGCTTTCTGACACTTTAGAGAAAACATTTGTAACATTGTTTACTAGTGAGCAAGACAGGAGAATTCTCCATTTGACAGCTGGAGAAAGAGATACAGGTTAAATGACTTGTCCAGTCACACAAGTAACTACAAGCAGACCCTGGATTTCCTACCACAGGTCTCATGAATTTAGACCAGAGTGCTTGCGGCTATGTCAGACTTTCTCTGTAATGAGTCCTACCCAGAACTACCAATCCAATTAGAAACAAAAGAGATAAACATATGGAATGGAAAAGAGGAAAATGTACAGTGCAATTGACAGTTTGGAAATACAACAAAAAAAGCACCGAAAGCATGAAAATTAAACTCTTTGAAGCCAAACAGAATTTAACAGGACAGCTCTGTTTGCAGGTACTGATATTTAGGCCTTGCCCAATTTACTGTCCTGTAAAAAGAAGCTGAAACATATAGCTGGGCTGCTCCTGGCATTAGTTATTTATGGAAAGGCAGAAAACAACTGTTCATTATTGACTGTGTAACAAGCCTTTGCATGTTAAACATACTTCACAGGTTTGTAGGATAATAATGTCCTCCTGTGGTCCAACTATAAGCAGCAGGACTTTATAATAATATTTGTATAGACACGTTATGTTATGTTTTATCATTAACAAGACCTTGTTTTTTTCAGATCTAATAACCAGGCCAAATATTGTCTTCAACAGTGTGTCTGAAACAACTGGTGAAATCAGAAACCTAGACAAAAGAGGATCACACTGTGAACATAAATAATAACTCAGCCTACTTCTTTCAAAAATGGTCAACGGCGAAGTAGCAAGATCTAAATGTGATGTTCTGAGAAATGATTATTTTATCTTTTCAAATAACCATTTCTTTTCATTCCATTACATTTTACAGGTTTTTAAATTAATTGAAAAACCAAAATAAATGGAAAGACAGTTAATGCATCTGGAGGGGAAGAGACAGTATTATAAAGACTCAATTCTTCCCAAATTAATCTATAAAGTCACTGTAATCCAAATCAAAATCCCAGCAGGGTTTTAATGGAACTTGACTTCAGTGTCTCTCACTAACTCATTCTTTGTCTTTTTAAAAGTGAGTTTCTATCTCCTAAATAAAATGCTCTGCAGTATCCTTGCAAATTACTTTAACAACCATTCAAAAAGGAAAAAAAATTATATGCATATTCATATTTATCCATAAGGCCAGAGGCAAATAAAATGGGCTGTGGTGGTCATCAAGTCTGCCAGCGAGATGCCTTTTATATTTTTGCCCACTTTCTGTAGCAATTCTAGCCTAGTAATATTAGGGGAAAAGACAGGTCATCAATATCATAACTCAGCTTAAATCTCTCTTTCCTTTCCTTTCCTTTTCACATATAACAAGATTCTATTTCATCTTCCATTCTTAAAAGATAAGTTAAATAACAACAAAATTTTTAAATGTCCTTTACTCATAATCATTGACTATTAGAGCCAGGAGGCTACATAGAGACAGAGTAGCAAGATGGAAACTATACGGGCTTTAGAATTGGACTCCCCTAGACCAAGTTATACAAGCCTCAGCCTCCTTGCTATAAATCAGGCATAATAATGGTACCTCATTCATAAGGCTTTTCTGAAAGAGGATTAAATGAAATCATGCTCATAAAATACCTGGCTTATGATAAGTGGGCAGAAAATGGTGCTATTAATTACCAAGTTGGACCTCCTCATTTTACAAATGAGAAAAAAAGGAAGCTTAGAACCAAAACTCATACTCTTCCATTATTCCACACCAGTCTTTCTCCAAATTTTCCTAATTATTGAATGACTTGCTTTAAAGCCAAAGGCTAAATTCCTTGAGAATGATCTACAACCCCCACCTTCACTTTCATTCACTAAATCACTCTCTGACCTCCAAGCTAACCCCTATTCCCTTCAGTCCTCTAAAGATACCCTCTGCTAATATCTTCTATGAAATGGACAAACCCCATCATTATACCTAGATATTCAAAAGGCTTAAACCTTCAAACATTCATTCAAAGCAATCCTTCTTCAAACCTAAATGCTGTAATAAACCTGTCTCCTTCACTTGAACCATATACGGCACCTGGTACAAGCTGTTATTGTTATTCAAATTGAAAATCTTTGGCAACATGTTTGAATAATAATGGCTACCACTTATTGAACACCAGTTATTGAATATGCCAGGCACTGCCCCAAACATTTGACTAGAACCTATTAAGTAGATACTGTTGTTATTTCAGAGGGGAAAAAAAAGTGTGTGTATATGGCTGAATAAGTATTGTTTCATATGTCCATCTCACTATCACATAAGCCCACCTGAGAGAGAAGCAAACTCTCATTTGAAATGTCCTACTTCTATAAACCCCCTCCTAGGAAAAGATACTGTAGCAAGCGCCTTGACAAGTGGAACTCATAGATTATGGGAGTCACTTTTAGCTATGATATGTATCTAAACCAGACCATTTATACAGGCAGTTTCCAGAACTGATGGCTAACCTTAACTTTCTACAAGCTCATTTCAATGGTATTTATGAAAGAGTTTAAAAAATCTGGTTTTGTTAGCCACTGGGCAAAATTTATGTATGGGAATCCAGATCACTGTATGAATCAACTCTTGCCTATTCCCTCTGTTCATGGAGCCATGATGCAAATTAGGACCAATGTGAAGGTGTCCAAATTCTCTGTAGCTAAACATCACTGTACGTGGACAAATACATACATGAAAGACTATTTTTAAAGCCAGTTTTCGCACAGTAAGCCCCACTTTTCCATTGATTTTTCTCTTTTTTTGTTTTGTTAATGTTGTCGTTCTTAATTAATTTTTTTATTAAGGTATCATTGATATACACTCTTATG